TTGTCAAATGTTCCTTTATGCGCCACACTTGTGTTTAAGACTTGGAAATCTTGCAAAAATAATATAAATAAATGGCATATCTTTTTTTTTTATAATTTAAAAATTCATCATATTTTTTTGTCTTATTGCATCTTTCAAGCGTAGAAGTCCGTTCATTCCCAAATAAAAATTTAAATTTGGATTGAGAACGAGTTTTGCTCCTTTTTTTACCGGTTAAACCATCTGATATTGGATTGGTATGTTTTATTTTTATAAGAAAACTAAATTGGTAACGGTAACCGTTGAATCATTGGACCAAAAATTTAAAAAAAAAATATTGATATCAAGTGACTCTCCGATCACACATGCAATGCATTGATGTGCATAAAGGGGGCAAAACAGCAATTAGCAGATCACAAGGACATCAAATTCCACGTGGGTTCAAGAATTCAGCTCGTAAGTTTTGATTTTATGGCCGTCTTGCTTTGACTCGTCTAATAACAACTATAAATGCTTCCGCATGTGCATGTCATAACCCATCAGCCATACTTTTTTTGTTACGGATTGAAATTACAACTATATGACATGAAGCCCGGTCCACAAAATTCGAATACAGGCCTTGACTTCCATGAACAAAAATCAAAAGGGTACGGCTTGTTGTCACATCGCGATTACATATAGCAATGTTTTCATACGACAAGATAATCAATTGTTTCTTTTTTATAAAAAATTTGGATTAATATATCTTGTAGAATCCAAGATTGGGTGACTAAAAGCCGCTAAGGAAAGAACTTGGGTTTCGATATTTATTTGAAGAATTATATTCACATGAATTTTCCAAATCCTTTGGAGATGTAATTGGATATAAAAAAAATATATAACGCGTGGATATTTATATTACATATTACAATATCAACTAACTAATCGATATTAAGGAGAGGTTTCAAAATATTTTTCATATGGTAGTAAAGCTATCAAATTTGTTATAAAATTACAATTAGAGGTAATTTTGTTGCATACTATTGTGAGGGAATCAATAGCTTTAAAAAAAAATAGATTCATTTCTCCGGTAGATATTTAAATTAGATATCAACTAATCAAGTTTAAGAAATAATTCCAAAATATATTCCATATGATAGTAAAAATATATATCGAATTTGTTATAAACGATTTTACAGCGGAATCAATAGTTTTTTTTTAAAAAAAAAAATCTGGAATCATTTATCTCGTAGATATTTAAATTAGATATTGCGATATATATCGGCCAACTAATGAGTTTTAAAGAACGATTGCAAAGTATTTTTCATATGATAGTAAAGCTATATCCAATCCGCACACAAGAATCCATGTGAAATAATCTTGGGATATTACAACTTGATCTCCGTCTTCTCCCTCTCCGCCGAAAAAGACAGTCAACAACATGCACACAAACACGACTTCCACGCCTTATTCCCTCCGAAATCCGGATGTTTCGGTGTTCAAACCAGCCATTAATGGAGAATAGAACAGCATATATATACGTGTATATCCACTTGTGCTCTGGTTTTCTTTTCTCTGTCTCCATCGTAGATTGAAGAAGAACGAAGCTTTCATGAGGCAAACAGCCCCCCACAGATTCAGAACACAACACGTCTCAGAAACGAGTTCTTTGTGGGGGCATTGTTCTTGTTCAAACGAATCCACATGAAGGTTTTTTTTATTCTTCATCTCAAAAAAAAAAAAAAAAAAATTGTCATGCTTGTTTGGGCGTGTATGACGTCATTCATGCTGTCAGCAAGCAAATACGGTAACATATAGACAATAAAACAAACTAGTTATTATTATTATTATTATTTTTGAAAATAAAGTTACCAGATTTCGATTCATGTGCGTATAAATCGGAAATCGATCGAGTCATGACTACCGACCCAAGTCGCCGAATCCACTCTGCTTCCCCGTCCGCCCTTCAAAATTCCTAATTTCTTCTTCCCTTCAATGGCGGACCATGCGGATGAAGCAGAGATGGAGAACAATCCTCGTCCACGCGACGATGTTTCGAGGAAGACCCGCCAGAAGAAACAAGAAGGGGTTTTAGATTCGATCCGCCATCGGCCCCTGCGGTGTTTAAGAATGCTCATTGAAGGTTCTTCTTGGGTACGATCATCGCCTATGGCGTCAGCCCGGGACTTTGGCCATGGCCTCGGCAAAGTGAGCAAACAGCACTACTTGAAGGTAAAATTTCCTATCACTGCCAATGGAACAGTCACCGTCCGGCTTCTCTTTACTGTTCATGAATGGAAAGTCATTGCTTTACTCGCTATTCCTTGATGGTTACACAGTTTGATAATCTCTGGTCGGCCATCGTGATCAGGGGCTTACTGTGAGAGTAATCCCAATCGGGTTGGTGTTTATTTTTAAAAACCAGACGCTGATCCCAACTCATTCATTCTTCCGGCTGAGAAATTGAAGAACAAAAGAAGTGAATTTGTACATGAAACCGAGAGCATTGAGTTGAAGGTTGATCCAGAATCTACACTGTTGTAAGGCTCTGGATTTATCCTGGAGAATTGATTTCAGACAACCTTAGTAAGATTGAATGTATATATACGTTTGAAGGTTTTTTTCCAGTACATAAGCATTCATTACAAGTGATAAAAAAAAAGGTTTCTTGAAATCATGGAAAAGCTTCTGCATGCTCTGTATAAATGTTGGAACAACTTTGAAGAACAGAAGCTACTTGTGCTATACCGATATACATACATATACGTGTACTAGGATACTTCAATGGCATATATAGCCAACAGAGAAAAATTGGCTTTAATGATAAGCAGGATCACACAGAAACGATATTCAGGGTCAGGAAAGATCAGAAACTGCAGGTCTCTCTTGCGATTCCAAGCCTTTCTTGTTTAGTATCATATATCACTCTCTGGTTTTTCTGCTGATAATTGGCAATGATCCCGATCTCATCTTCGTATGACAGGCTTGCAAAGGCCAAGCAGACAAGAGTCGCGTCAGGTTTCACAAAGTAGAAAACACCGGTAACATCCACTTCGAGCTCAGCATTGCCTTGGAAGAACATTTTGACAGTAGGAATGCTTACTTCTTGGTAACTGCTCAGGTCAAAGCAAGTGTCTAAGATTGAATAGCCAGCAGCCGAAGGAAACCCGGAAAACTGTTTCAGGAACTCGGCTTTCAGAGCCTTGTAAATGGATGGAGGAAGTCTCGTGATAACGGTTCCCGAATCTATCAGAATCTCCCGACCAAAACTCGAAGCCTCCAGTGGCACACCTCCGATGCTTGCACCAGTGAGATTCAGGACGTAAAACGAATGAAGCTGAGGGTTTTGTACGAGAGGAGTGTACGAAAATGGAGTTGAGTTCTTGTAAACAGAGTAATCATCGCCAAAAGACAATGCACCAGAAGCTCCATTCTCTAAAGTTGGTAAGCAGTAAGAGAAAGCTCCATTGAAAGCTTCACTCATCTGAGAAACCAGAGAAACCGAGCTTTTCCCCAGACCCATCAGACCAGAAGCTCCTCCGAACAGACCCTTGTTGTTTCGGCCGCAGCCAAAGACAAAGTTTTGGACTTTCGTGTCGCCCAGTTGGATACTTTCACTTCCCAAGTCCCCTCGAGTGTAAGATCCATCTCCATAGCTAACAATGTAATTACAGGTCGGTTCACTAACGCTGTTACTTCCACAGACACCTGAATAGCCAGTAGCCTCTAGAAGAGACTGACAAGTCGATGAATTGCAGAAAACGGTCTGGTAAGAATGCGAGACAGAAGGGTCGTACATGGGACCTTGCTGGTTGTAACATGATTTGCAGGGTTGGCATTGGACCCATGTCAAGTCACTTCCAGTGTCCACAATCAAGGTCATGTTCTTGCCACCGAATTCAACAGTGACGATGTAATTCAAGGTTTCGAGTTTCGTCCCGGAGGTCAATGGAATCCGAGTCTCTGAAACAGCTTCTACAGATCCAGAGCTGATGGCTTTTATTCTGAGTTGAAGTGATCGGACTCGGTGGTCGTCAAGAACCAATGCTTTCATCAGCTTCTTGCTCCAATCAATGGTCTTCCTCGAGCAAATTCCTCGATGTTTCATCTCTAACGTTGTTGAATCTCCCCTTTTTCCTATGGAGTTCCAAATAATGAGATTGTAATCATATGCTTTTTTTAACCATTGCAGAAGATTTCAAAGGTATCAATAAACTCGATACTTTACATCTTACTGTAAAACTGATGGAAAGAAAGAGCTCAAGAAACCCATCATCTCTGGTACTATAGTTTTTATTCAGACAAAGAATTGAAGGCAGGAAACTATGAATAGGCATCTGAGTTGGCAGTTGCGTCGTCCAAAAACGACATGGAACTCCATTGTCTTTTAGAGAACTTGTCTCTGAAGTAACAATATTCGAGAGAAACGGAGGACAATTTCACACAACCCATTCCATTCTACAGAAGAAGAAAAAAGAGAGCTCAACTTCTTCGGGTAAAAAGGGTTTCAAAGTTTTATCAAATGTTTAAAGAATAGGCAAAAAAGATCGAATTTTTCGCCAAATGTTTCGGACAAAGCCTTTGTTCATCTCTATACATCAATGCATAAGTGCATATATCAGACGAGTCATGATTCATGACTACAGAAAACAAAAGAAAGCCTTAGTAATCATCATTTATTTTCTAATGAATTTTTTTTTAAAAAAATTTCTTACAATCATCATTAAGTTTATATGTAATCACAAAACACGCCATTAATTAAAGAGCAGTACCTGACTGAAAAGTTTGGAACACAAGCATCCCATATTTTTATATATATATATATATGCTGTTTCAGAAACAAATATTGTATGAAAATCTTACCCAGATTGTGAGAGAAACATGAACCTGGAACATCATTTGGATAGTGGATATTATGTAGCTCGAGGATCTTCTTGTCACGGACTCCATGAACACCAAGACAGGACACGAGAACAAGAACAAGTGAAAGGGTCGATAGCAAAAGAGCTGTTTTGATCGTCATTTTCGTGGAGAGGATTCGTCAGCGTCGATGAAAGAAAGATAAACAAAGGGTCTTCTCTTCTGCAGAGAAAAGAGACTCCAGAGAGAGAGAGAGAGAGAGAGAGAGAGAGAGAGAGAGAGAGAGAGAGAGAGAGAGATTCTTGGGGAGTTTGGAGTGAGGGAAGAGAACAAAAGAAGAAGGGCTGGCGAGAAGGGCAAAAAAAAAAGGGACCCCACTTTGTGCATGAGAAAATTATTGGGGATTCACGTGAATTACTATAATATATATGATCCAAAATTCATAAAATAAAAATTGCGAGATTAAAAAAAAAAAAACTGAATCTTTTCTTCTGTGGGTGTGGCGCTGTGAATTGTTTCGATGTTGGCCGCTAGTGCAAGTGGGGAATTTCAATTTTTTTTTTCAATTACAACGTTTATTTATTGATATATATATATATATATATATATATATATATATATATATATATATATATATATATATTGTGTCTATTTT